GTGTTTCTAATCTGGAGTAAGGCAATAGGGAGTATAGACACCCAATTTTGACTAGTTTCTTGTGCTAGTTTTCTGAGGTGTTTTTTAATAACCTCATTAGTGCTTTCTCCCTTTCCCGAGGATGGGGGTGTCCAGGCACAGTGGGGGTGACAGTGAATTCCCAAGGCCTTGGATACTCCCTCTGTCGCCTGGGACTTACAGGAGGGGCCGTCATCACTTTGAAGGGACAAGGGGAGTCCAAACCGAGGGACGACTTCATTTACCAGTGCCTTTACCACCTCTGCAGGCTTTGGGGTTCGGCAGGGGAAGGCCTCCACCCAGTGTGTGAAGGGTATCTACCCAAACCCGGAGACTTTTGTACCCCTGTGCCTTAGGCATATGTGTGAAATCCAGTTGCCAATCTTCCCCAAGCTCCCCACTCACTGTCTGCCTCTGGGGATTTGTGGATGAGAGTGCTCGAAAGGCCCTCCTTTGCTTCTGGTTTTAGAGGGTATTGTTTCCGATAGGGGAAAGTTGTGGGGGTCTTTAAAATGTGTGCGAATGGGCACTGCAGGTAAGGCCCGACCCACTGCTCCCTGAGTTGCCCAGACCTGGGGATAAATATCAGCCTCTATTAAGGGGATGCAATTGCTAGTCTGTCCAGGGGCCATCAATATGAGAGTTCCCAGACTGGTCATAATATCGCTACCTAAGAGAGGTGTGGGGCTCTCAGGCATTATCAACAAGGAGTGAGAGAAAATTCGTTCTCCCCAGGTGCATCCCAGCAGGTGAGAAAAAAATTTGATTCTGGGCTGTCCAGTGATACCCTTAACAACAGCGCTGAGGCTGGACAGCTGGCCCCGGGGTGGAGAGAGGGACCAGAAAGGGGGAAGGAGCTTGACTGGCATTCCCTCTGTCTCGGGAATTACCCGAGGCTCTGGGTTCCCAATGGCAAGCTGTTCTGGGGAGCCGCCATGAAGAGCTCCAGGTCCCATCAGACCCTGTCGGGGTGCAGGTCATCTGAGCCCTGGCCGATGGAGAGGCTTGCGGGCATTCAGACTTCCCATCCCCCTCCACAAGCAGGACAGGGCTTATGGGGCTTTGATTTTGGCTGTCCCCTTTGAGGACATGCCGGCTTCCAGTGCCCTGGGTGGCACAGATGTGGCATCTGGTTCCAGAGCCGCAGGGCTTGTAAGGTCGCAGCTAGGGCCTCAGAATTCTTTCTTAGCCTCTTCTCTTGTTCCTCACTCCCCACTTGGTCCCGGCCGTAAAAGACCCAGTTAGCAGCTCCTAAGAGCTCTTCTAAGGCCCCCCTGGGGGCCAACAGCTGACTTTTGCAGCTTTTTCCAATTATCTGGGGCTGACTGGATCACAGATTTGTCTTTGAGAATGATCTCAGCCTCAGGAGAATAGGGGGAGATAGCTGTATATTTAATGAGAGCCTCTCTCAACCCCTCTAAGAAGGCTGTCGGGTTTTCCTCTCGAGGTTGGGTGACAGCGGACAGCCTGGTATAATTTAGGGGTTCAAACTTTGACCTTTTTAATCCCTCCAGGACGCAGGCCTGGAAGTGACTGAGGTACCAGTTTCTGAGGGGATCGTCAGGGTCCCAACTGGGGTCTTGGGAAGGGACAGCTTGGGCTCCAGTTGGGAAATGGGAGTCCCCCATGGGCCCACCCGTGCCCTGAAAATTAATCAGCTCTTCGTCCCTGTTCTCTCAGAGGTGGCCAGGACCTCGCATTTCTCCGCCTCAGAGAGGGTTTGATTTAACAGGAGCATTACCTCCTTCCAGGTTAATTCAAACACATAAGTTAGATTTTGGAAAGCTTCTATATATTTATCTGGTTGTTGGAAAATTTCCCAAGGTCCCCCTTCATCTCTGGTCTTGCAATGACAAGGGCACCTGTACCCCGGCCACAGCGGCAGGTCCTCTTGGTCCTCCTCCAGGTCGTACGTATTCTTGCAAGAGATAGAGCCCCCGAGCGTCAGCAGGGGGTCCAGGATAAGGCAGACAGGTAAGGGCACCTGATCTTAAATCTGGATAAATTGGTGGAGACCCTAGGGAAGATGGAGCTGGGAGTGGAAAATCCTCTGCGGACGCCATGTGCCCGTCTGCCTTTGGTGTAGGTGTGGTATTCTTTCGTTCCTGTCCCCCAGTGTCCGGCCACGAAAGAGAGCAGCCAGGAGGCTGGCCCAGGCCCTTATTTTCCCTTAAGGCCCAGAAACATTGCACATTGGGTACTTCTCCCCATTTCCCTCATGTTTGCAAAACCAGTCCAGTTGTAACAGGTTATTATAACCAATACATCCCTCAGGCCGCCATGTCTCCTCCAGTTGGTACCGTGGCCGTGCCTTGGAACAAAAGAAAGTAAGCTGCCTTTTCTTTAAGGTTTGCGGGTCAAACCATTCCAGTTATTCAGGAAGCATCCCGAAGGAGTACTGGATTTGGTCAGGGGATTGCAATTGCCCATCTCTAGGAAGAGCGGAAATGGCATCCCTTACCTCAGTTCCTCACAGTTGATCAGGAGGGCTTCTTCCGGATCCAGTGTCCTGGGGGCTTTGCGACTGGCAGCCAGGGCTGCTGTCTCTTCTGCGAGGCGCTAGTAGTCACTCTTACCAGGCTCTACCTCCAGGGAGCAACCCGCTTGTCCTGACTCTTATTCTCTTTGCATTTCCCAGCCACGGGACTCGAAGGATCCTGGGCTGGGACCCAGTAAGGCTCCTTTAGTGGTGGGTGGATGTGCCAGAATTTTCCTGGCCCGTTGAAAGGTGGCATAATGGGCCTACTAAAATTGCTCTGTTTGACAGACCCGTTTTAAGTGGTTAACAAAGGCCAATTTATGGAGGCACAGGGCGGGCTGCTGGGGAAGGGGGAAACAACCAAGGTAGAGGTCCGTTCCCTTGCCCTTCTCAGCAACACCTACTCAGATGTGTCCCAGCCAGACGGGGTCCATCTTAGGATGGTCGCAGCTGAGCAGAGGGGCATGCACCTTGCCAAGTGTAACAAAATGGTCCCCGTGTATCCCGGAGGCAATCCCTCCCGATGTCCAGTGAGCCTGATCCAGACGGTGTGGGGATCCAGTGTCCGTCACACAAAAACAAGCATGCTTAGTGGCTGCAGGGTCGCAGGTCGAACACTGCTGGCGGGACCCCAATAAGGGAATTCAAGGTGTGTGGGGTGGGGCGTGGGGGGACTACTTCTAACAAGATCTGGGCCACATCCCGGAGGAGGCCACGTGTCTAAGTGTTCTGTCCACCTGACAGGGTAACAGGTGAAGGGGTAGTACTCAGAGGTGCCACCACAGACGGAGGGCAGAGGCAGAAGGCTGTTCCTCACCGTAATGGGGAACTGTGGTTGCGATCCCTTGGAGGCCTCTGGCAAGAGGATGTCTGGGGGGGACCTTCCCAGGGATTTTGCATTCCTTCCCCTAGAGGAGGGATCGGTGGGAACGTACCACCCGAGACTTGAGGATGGCAGCCGTGCTATGCGCTCTGAGATGATGACTGCCCATCACGTTGACTGTAACTGAGAGGAGAGACTCGGGGTCCACTACTCACGGTTAGAGGTCCTTGATGACGACCAGAGATCCCGGAGGAGCCCCCAAGAAAATGTTTCAGGAATCTTTCTTACCCCAGCTTTCTGGTGCCCACGGTCCTCGCTCACGCCGCTTGGAGGAATGAAGAGGGAGACCAGACACGGAGTCGGGGGGGGGGGGCAGCAAAGCAAAGTTTTAAGAGGATAGAATCAGCTCTTCACACGGAGACGGGGGATCCGAGAATAACCCCCTCCCACCCCCAGCAAGGACAGATTTTCTTTTATGCAGTTTTAGCTGGGGCTGTTGCAGCCCAGATCCTTCAGGATTTCTTCATGTCTTTGTCTGATTGGCCCCAGGGGGAAGTTTTCCGGGAAGACGATCTTTCCCAGACCAGCCCCCTGGGGTTGTTTTTCCTCCTTGGTATTCCTGGGAGGCCAGAGACTTGATAGGGATCTTACCCAGTGGCTTCAGGTCCTACTAGATTCCTCTCTGCCTGTCCCTTTATCTGTCCCTGCCATAATAGGATGCCAAGTTTGTGTTCCAGATGGACATTTGATCCGCAGAGGAATCAAGGATACCCAAATTTTGCTCACATGGGCTCATTAAAGCAAGTTTTTTTCTTGCAAGGTGACTTCAGTTTAGGGACTCTTGGGTCAAATGACAGATTTATGAATACCTTAGGCAAGCTTTTCATTCTTCTTTACAGGATTTGTCAGTATTCAACACCTTGGTATGCCAACAATGCGACTTGAAGTCACAGCTCTTTTGTTGATTAAGTGGGTGGCTCTGAAAAGAGCCTTTTGGTTTGGACAGGAGGTTTGAGGTGCACACTCTGCTAGACTCCTACTTGCCCTTGGCCTTGTGGTGGCTCTCGGTCTTCTTGGGCAGCAGCACGGCCTGGATGTTGGGCAGGACGCCGCCCTGCGCGATGGTGACGCGGCCCAGCAGCTTGTTGAGCTCCTCGTCGTTGCGGATGGCCAGCTGCAGGTGGCGCGGGATGATGCGCGTCTTCTTGTTGTCGCGCGCCGCGTTGCCCGCCAGCTCCAGGATCTCGGCCGTCAGGTACTCGAGCACGGCCGCCAGGTACACGGGCGCGCCGGCCCCGACCCGCTCGGCGTAGTTGCCCTTGCGGAGCAGGCGGTGGACGCGGCCCACCGGGAACTGCAGGCCGGCCCGCGACGAGCGCGTCTTGGCCTTGGCGCGAGCCTTGCCGCCTTGTTTGCCGCGTCCGGACATGACGGAGAGAAAGGAACAGACCTGAGTAGGGTCAGAGTTGAATCAGCCAGAGCTAACCCTACTTATAGTCTCTATTGGGCACAAAAATGAAGCTGTGCCATTGGCTAAAATTACAGTTTCACTTAAACCAATGGAATCCTGGTTTTCAAATACACTTCTTTTGATTGAACAAAATTAATACGTGACGTTTGCAGAATTCGCCAATTAGATACAGGATTTGACTCACTGCTCCTTTGTTTAAGAAGCTGTGGATAAAAAGGGCACTTAGAGCCTCATACTCGTTCTTCCTGTTATTTTCAGGTCGTTTAACAGTTTGTCCCAGCCATGCCCGAGCCCGCCAAGTCGGCTCCGGCCCCGAAGAAGGGCTCCAAGAAGGCGGTGACCAAGGCGCAGAAGAAGGACGGCAAGAAGCGCAAGCGCAGCCGCAAGGAGAGCTACTCGGTGTACGTGTACAAGGTGCTGAAGCAGGTGCACCCCGACACCGGCATCTCGTCCAAGGCCATGGGCATCATGAACTCGTTCGTCAACGACATCTTCGAGCGCATCGCGGGCGAGGCGTCCCGCCTGGCGCATTACAACAAGCGCTCGACCATCACGTCCCGGGAGATCCAGACGGCCGTGCGCCTGCTGCTGCCCGGGGAGCTGGCCAAGCACGCCGTGTCCGAGGGCACCAAGGCCGTCACCAAGTACACCAGCGCCAAGTGAGCCCGCCTGCTGCAGAGCAATCGGTAAGGCTCGGCACACACCCCAAAGGCTCTTTTCAGAGCCACTCAGCGTTCTAAAGAGAACTGGCACTCATTTACCCTGGGTGTTTATTTGCTGTAAAGAAACAGTACCTGAATTCCATGTTTTCACCTGGCGGTAAATTAGTTACAATGTATGGGAAGCTGAAGCAGCGCTGGAGACGTATTTAAAAAGGTTTCGGTCAGGAAGGATCACGTTCATTATCAGACAAATGGAGTAAAATAAAACATTCTTTGTCTCCAAGCAAAACCTGGTCACCTTTGAAAATCCCAACCTGGCAAAAGGTCTTATTAATAATGCCTCGAGCGCTCTGTCCTTAATTCTCAGGTGTACCTTACAGACGGGGCACTGGGCACGCGCTAAGAGGCGCACGAGTCGTTTCGGGGGCGGTGCTGGCTCTGGTCCCTGGAGTTTGTGTTTGCCACGTAGTGAGTTAGAAAGGCAGCAGAAAAAAATGGAAGTCGGAGCCGTATTGAAAATGTCAGCGCGCGTCCATGGTGGCACGTGGGTTTGAGAGCCAATCCAGACGCTGCGCGGGCGGTTTGAAGTCCCCCGGGGGCCGCGCTTCGGGAGTCCGTCCGAACCGGTAGTTCTGCGCAGCGCGGCGTGCGGGAGGGAGGAACTGCCGCTTTACTCCCTCGCTTCTCTGGGTGAAATTCCTCTCACGGGAAGGACTGGGCTCAGGTTCCTACCTTTCCGGTCCGAATCCACTCCATCATATTTTCTGTGTCACTTGCATTTCGTGTTTCTATTGGAAGACATTTAAAAAGAAAACTAGAGGAGGGGGGAAGCCCAATTCAGGACGTCAAAATCCCTCTCCCCGACTTAAGCCCTTAGGAATGGCACATGTAGGAGTATTTTGGTCTTTGCCGGGACTCGGGGTGGAAACACTTCCACACTGAATTGTATTTGCTGAAGTTGTTTTTTGTTTTGTTTTGTTTTTAATAATATCCTTTATCCAATTACGGAGCCGAGGTGTTCGCGTGAGAATATTCTGCACGCGTTGAACAGGAGACACAGGAGAAGGGAGCAGCGCTATTCTTATTCACAAAACAGGAGAAGCAACCGCATATTTATGGCCAAAAGAATCAACAAATTTATTGAGATAGGGTCACTCAATAGGAGTCCATACAGAGAGGGGGAAAAAAAAGATTAAAATACACAGTAGCACTTGGTTGAATTTCAGAAACCTAAATCTCAGAAGGCTCATATATGATACCACTTTATAAAGCTCAAAAATAAATTATTATTTAAGCATGTAGAGAAGCACATGTAAGTGTATGATTCAAAAACCTTTTTAAGAGCTTTATGTATGAGTTTTTAAAAAATCAGGAAATGGACACCTCAGTGACAGACACAGAGTGTAGACAAGAGGATGTAGACAAGAACAGAGGTAAATACGAGTTGTTGCCAGCATTCTAGATTTACTGCTAGAAGTTCCATCGTGGGTGTTTGATACAATTTGTTTTAAACTTAAGATATTCCCTTTATGTATCAGATACTATACTGAAAACCATAGTAGGGAGAGGACGCTTGCGTACAAACAAGTTCCAAGCATCATCTACTTTGTCTTAAAGGAAATCTTATAAAGGAGAATCCCAAACGTTATGGTGTTTCTTTTAGGGAGTGGGAGAAAAAGACTGACAGGTCATTAAGAAGGTCTATGAATTTAGAAAACTCAAGATTTGGGCTACAATTACATCAGCAACCTTCCTCCTCCAGCTCTTGTAAACTTTCCGTCTACTGAGATTTTCAAAATCTTTGTGACAGCCCGCTGACCCAAACGGGTGTGAGGAGGTACGCAGGTGTGTGTATTTCGTATACCTTTTATGTAGTCATGTATATGTATGTGTGTATATCCCTCCCTCAATTCTGTTAGAAAAGAAATTATACTTTTTAAATTTATGTATCTCTTCTCCTTCCATCATCTCTCAAGATAGTTGATGATAGTAAATTCACCACATATTTGGTTCTTTTAATCACTACTTTTCAGAGCACAGAAGCCTTTCATCCTGTCCATTAACCCATTAATGCAGACAATCGATAGCAAATTCTGGTATTTCTTTGTTTTACAGAATGAGGGGAACAGCAGAGAGAAATCCGGGGGAGGAAGTGGGAAGAGGATTTAGAAGGATTCAGTTAGCTAACCACGAATATCCTGGGCCTGGGGAACATACGTGTGTATAGATGCAGGTATGGAAGACATTACACACACAGGTATAGGTTTGGATATGGACGGGTATGCTTTGGCGATCAAGGACTGCTTGAATGACTTGCAATTGTCAGCAGGAACAATATCTAGAAGAATATGGGAAGGGGTAGCTGACCTCGGTGCAGAATGGACAGAAGCATGCAGAGGGAATCTGTGGCCCCTCTATAAAAAGTTCACATATCGGGCCCATTACAGTCCAGTAGTTAGAAGGTTAAAATTCCTAAAAGGAGAGAAAAATAAAAAAAAACCCTCAAAGCTAGATTTTGTGGGTTATTTGTGCCTTGGTGATCCAGGCATCTAACACTTTGTTGTTCAAAGTATCTTGATTAATTTGTGTCATTGCTGATTAGGCTTGGGAAATGGACTTGAGCTCAGCCAAACCTGGATGTCACTTTACTATTTTATACTGGAACAGCTGGTAGCTTTAATAATTCACATGATTTGCCCCTGATAATATTTTTTGTCATTTTCCCCCTAAAGAACAATTTTCAGAACACAAAAGAACAGACTGGAACATTAAAATAGACAAGAGAGTCTTATCCTAAAGGAGAGATTTTTTTTCCCAAGTTATGTTACCTGAAACTGGCCTTTGTCCAGCTTAGAGAAATTCATGTTTTCTTCATTGAAAACTCCATTCTATGGAGGTTGAACAAAATTTACTGACAAAGCTTAACTCTTTTTACTCCTTTCTAGATTCCATGCAGTTTGCCATCCTTCAGTTAGGACACTATCGGGCACATTAAATTAGACCACAACTTATCTTAGTTACATTTTAGGTTCTTTGATGTGGAAAACACCTGCATCTCGTCATCCATAACTGTCCAAACAACCTCAAATGTTTATTTTTTCTGCAGATGACTAGTTTATCCATTGTCTGATACCTTTTAACTTCTATTTCAGAGGCTCACCTTTTCCGATGTCACCAAATCGGCCTCTTCGGGGGTTTCAAGAGTAAAGCAGATGTGTGGTATTAAAAAACAAAACCAATTAACAAAAAGCACAAGGACATTTTTTTCCAGACTTGAATAAGGATAAAAAGTTCCTATCAACTCCTACAGAGTTTAACATACATGTAAGTATTCCTAGGGGTCAATGAATAGGACTGCTCCAGCCTAAGACGACTTTAGAGGGCCTGAAAAGTGTAAAGAACATGGGTGGGGTAGACTGGAAAGACAGAGACCCCTCCCCCTGCAGATGCACCAGAATTCCCACTGATAGAAGGAAGAATAAAATCAGTGCCTCAGCCAAACATCTGCATTTACATCAAAAATTAACAAGTCTTTTTGATGGAGAAATTATGAAAAGCTATAAGGGAACACTGGAATCCCAAAGATATTAATTTGGCCGCCTGCTGCGGCCATTGAGATTGGCGGGGGGTCGCGACCTGTGTTTACTGACATCGCTGTGATGTCTGTGCTTAATAAACAGCTTTCATCTTGGGGTTAATTTATGAAAAGCAGTGGTTCCCATAGCTGTCATCCTCAAGGCTCCCCTTTGATATTTAATAGTTGTAATGGCCCCTTTCCTATGCTGACGTTAAATTCTTAGGTAATAATACTTAAATGCATGCATAATTTTTCAAAATCATGAAACACCATACTATTACATAAAAACAAAGTAAGAGACAGTTATTTTAACAACAAAGGAGATAATTTCAACCACATATCATTGCTTGGGCCCTACACTCAAAAACATAAATTAGAAGTTGGGTATTTGTACCTGTATTAGTGAGAAATAAAACCAGTGGGATGGATGTGCATATAGATATTAGGAGATTTCTTATAAAGAACTGGTTCATGTGATTATGGAGGCCGACAAGGCTCCAGATCTGCAGGCTGAGCTGGCAAACTGGAGACCCAGGGGAGCCGACGGCGTAGTTCCAGTCTGGAGGCCAGCAGCTTCGAGACCCAGGCAGGGCCCATGTCTCAGTCTGAGTCCAAAAGCAGGAAAAAGCCAGTGTCCCAGTTCCAAAGCAGCCAGACATGAACTGTTGTTCAGGGGAAGGACAGCCTTTGCACTCCATTCTTAATTTCAACTGACTGAATGAGGCCCACCCACATTGGGGAGAATAATCTGCTTTACAAATTAAGTCTACCAATTTAAGTGTTTTACTCTCATCCAAAAGCCCCCTCACAGAAACACCCAGAATGATGTTTGACCAAATATGTGGGTAACACATAGCCTGGTCAAGTCGACACACAAATTAGTTGTCATAGAACCTGTAGGTAGAATCATCCTGAAGGCAAAAAGGACCCTGTAGACTGACTCAGAGGATCAAGCACCAAGAAGAGACTTACTCTCAGTGATGCGATTTTTCTTTTTTAAACAATAATTCTTGGGAGACATTTGAAAAGAACAAAATACAATCTCAATTTATAAAATGATTGCATTCTTGGAAATTTCGGTGCCTACTGAACTACACAGAAACACACACATGTGCAAAGACCTCGTGCTTCTTTGTAAAAGGAGCCAGGTTCTAGGATTGATTAACAGGGTTTTTTACCTTCAGATTTGCTATGGGACACTTGGAAGTCGTGCATAACCTGACTCAGTTCTTCATGGGACATCTAGCATCCCTGTTCTTTTCCTTTTTTTTTTTTTTTTTTAAGATTTTATTTATTTATTTGCCAGAGAGAGACACAGCGAGAGAGGGAACACAAGCAGGGGGAGTGGGAGAGGGAGAAGCAGGCCTCCCGTGGAGCAGGGAGCCCGATGCGGGGCTCGATCCCAGGACCCCGGGATCATGACCTGAGCTGAAGGTAGACGCTTAACGACTGAGCCACCCAGGCGCCCCTACCTGGTCTTTTCCTAAATGTCCGTGGTGCACCTTCCCCCAAGCCCTGGGACAGCCTAAAAACAGTCTGCTGGGTTTCTAGAATGCTCGCTAAGGGCCACTGTTGTTCTCTGAGAAGGCAGACACTGATTACTTTCATTGCAGAAGCTGCAGAAGGGAGATGTCAACGGTGGGAGCTGCCGGAGAGCTTCCAGGAATGCCAGAATGTCCCCAGAAACAGTCTGCGACGCTGAAACGTCCGTTGCGAAGCATCAGCCCTGGGTAAGCCAGTTGGTCCTTGTGCCTCGTGGAACAGTCCCAAACTCCTTGTCTTCTCAGCAGCTTACCTGTGGACGTGTGAACAAGCAGGGGGCCTTGATGTGGAGACGAGGTGGACAGCCTTTAAAGGAAAAGGGCCCCTCACCCAGAAGTCCCCCCTAGTGGCTGATACCCCGGCCAGCTCTGGGTCTGCAGGGGCACCAGTCCGCTGGCTTTGAACTCGGGCAGCAACCATGAGATTTACATTCAGCTTTAGCCCAGTGAACAGAAAAGGCACGGCAGGACATCGAAATACAAGTGGTGGTCCCCCTCTGTGGGATCCACTGTGACACTGGCTGGCTGCCCCTGAGACCTTAAGAACAAATGGGGACTCAACTCTCCTCAGATTATGACACAGGGAGGCCTGGTGATCCCAAAGAAGGAACGAACTCCCCACAGCCACCTCCTGGGGAGGCCTTTGCACAGTGAGCTCGTCGCAGATGCCTCCCACCGGTGTATCGGACCCGTCCTCTCTCCCTAAAATCAGTCCGCGATGTTGAAGAACTGCCCTTTCTGGAACTTCGGTAGTTAGACATGAGTGAGAACACGCTCTGGGAACAAGGCCCACTGCACCTCCTTGTCGTGGGACAAGCTATCCCCAAACCTCAGTTTTCACTTTCCGATTTCCCGTCCTTCTTCTGAGATGTTGTACCAGCCTACAAGGAAAGAAATGAAAATAAATGTGTCTTTGGGGGGCAGGCGGTGAGATGGAAGAAGGGGGCCAGTTATCATTGAGTGTGTCCTTGGGGGAGCAGGCAATGCAAAAAAACACGGCCCTTGTCCTAAAGGACATATATCCTAATACAGGAAACTGAAGGAGCTTTATACACGATCTATCTGATTAATGCATCGTGATCTAGTGTGCTTTTTAACATTTTATTTATTTATTTGACAAACTGAGAGCAGAACACAAGCAGAGGGAGTGGGAGAGGGAGAAGCAGGCTCCCCGCTGAGCAGGGAGCCCGATGCGGGGCTCGATTCCAGGACCCTGGGATCATGACCTGAGCCGAAGGCAGACACTTAACAACTGAGCCCCCCAGGCGCCCCCTAGTGTGCTGTGTTTTGAGGGAGATGGAACAGAACGGGCAAATTCTTCAAAGTAGACGCCAGCATTCAGGGCTCAGGCAACACGGTACCAAGGGTAATGAGTCTGGACTCATTTGTGCAGGAAGAGAAGCATTGTTTGGAAAAGGTTTTTAACGAGGCAAGTGACATTTTAGAGATTTTTAACTTGGCAGAAGCGTGCAGGGAGAAGATTGGGGAAGAAGGTGCTCTTGGCAGCGATGGAGGGAGACAGACGCAGGCTCCGAGTCCCTCACACTCTCTGGCACCACCACCCTGTTCCACACTCCACCTCCTCTCTCCTGGTCATGGCAGAGGCTTCCCACCGGGGCGTCTGCTCCCAGCCTGGTGTTCCTCAACTCTGCCTCCCCTCAGCAGCCCCGAGATTCCTTTAAAACCCTTGTCAGGTCGGCGTCAAAACTTGAAAGCCCTTCCCTTGGTCTCTGGGGTGTTGTGTGCGTTGGCTCTGGGCTGTTTTAGGCCCCCAATCCCAGGGTCCCTCATGCTTCCTCTGCTCCAGCCACCCCATCCCTTTGCTGTTCCTTCTCAGACACGCTGAGCCCGGCGCCCCGGGAGCCTGTGCACTTCCTTTCCCTCGGACTGCAATGCTCCCCCACGGCTCTTCCTTGCCTCCTACGTTCGCTGCCCAAATGTCCCTGTTCTGCGGTCTTGTTATGACATTCCCGCATCAGTATCATGCAAGAAATTGCCTCGAGGCCCAGGCAGCCTCCAAGCATCGCACCACGCAAGCTCTCCCAGGGACACAGCAGAGAAAGGCTCTCGGGCTGCATCTAAATGCTCAAATCATAGCTTCTTAAATCAATTAGAAATGCAATTAGCAAGGGAGAAAAGATGCGCAAGCTGACAGTTTGGTGGACAAGTGGGTGAGAGCCATGCTACGTGAGTCAAGTGCGCGCACATTTGTACATCTCGGCTCTCTTTTGCGGCATCGGCCTGTGGGACAGAGGCGGGGCAGCGAGCCGGGCCACACCCGCACTCCCCGCGGTTTGTGGGACAGACGCGGGCTTTGTTTGTGAGCTCCTGGTGGGCCCCAAGCGGGGCTCATCTAAGGCCTCCTGTTACTGAGTGAGGGCTTTATGTGACTCTTGTGTCAATGAATTCCAAATATGTACCGTCTCATACATTTAGCCAGATCCCTGGACCCTTTCATTCCTACAGTCTCTATTTAACCACATGTGCTCTACTTACTATTTATCCATACTTGAAATATCTTAAAGGTTTTGGCCTCTATGTTACTAACTAAAAACATCTTTTATAATAAAATTGCTAATTTTCAAAAGTAAATGTGTGTGACGATCCCTGGCACAGAACAGTAAATATATGCTGGCTGGATGAACCACGCTCTCCCTCCTGCTCCCCCTGAATCCTGTGTTTGGCATAAACAGGCGCGTGCGCACTTGCGCACATGCACACAGGGGCCTGGGTTCTGGCGCCGACAGTGGGCTTCCCAGGACATTTCTAGTTTCCAAGTCCTCAACTGTAAATGAGAGCAGGGTTTAGCAGGGTTTAACAAGATGATCTTTATGTTTCCTTCCAGCATTTAGGATTTTGTCAGTGATTTACTTCTCTGCTGTGGTTTCTTTGTGCTGTGGCTTAACTTTCTTAGTCTATCAAACACATTTCAACAAAATCAAAAGTCTTCTCTCTTAACTATCACTATTGCTAGGAGGATTACTGCTAAATCCAAAAGCAGAGGAAATTTTTCCTACATGCACAGCTGAATTTTGCATAAAGGAATTTAAAAGAGAAGAAAGTAAAGTTTAAAGCCTTTGAAAGTGATGGAAAGTCAAAACAGTAACAGGTGTACAGAAAATCTGTGAAACTTTCCAAAGTTTTTTAAAAAATTATTTGAGGGCGCCTGGGTGGCTCAGTCGTTAAGCGTCTGCCTTCGGCTCAGGTCATGATCTCAGGGGCCTGGGCTTGAGCCCCCGCTGGGCTCCTTGCTCGGCGGGCAGTTCGCTTCTCCCTCTCCCACTGCCTGCCTCTCTGCCTACTTGTGATCTCTCTCTCTGTCAAATAAATAAATAAAATCTTAAAAAAATTACTTGAAAAACTCAAGTAAACTTCTTGTGAAAGGAATACATAACAATGAAGTAACATGATAGACTGCCATCACTATAAAAAACATAAATTAAAAGGCAAAGAAACACCACTACATACCAGTTAGAAAGGTCAAAATCTGGAATACTCAAAACACCAAATGCTGGCGAGGATGTGGAGCAAGGTGGGCCATCCTTCACTGCTGGTGAGAATGCAAAATGGAAAAGTGTCTCCCACCTTGGAAGATAGTTTGGCTAATTCTTACAAAATCACACATACTCTTCCCGCACAATCCTGCAAGTACATTCTTTGGTATTTACTCAAAGGAGTTGAGAATTTATGTACACACAAAACTTGCCCTCAGAAGTATATATTAGCTTTATTCAGAATTGTCAAAACTTGGAAGCAACCAAGATGTCCTTCAGTGGGTGAAGAGATAAATAAATTGGTACATCCAGACTATGATAATGTTCAGGGCTAAAAAGAAATGCGCTATCAAGCCATGAAAAGACATGGAGGAACCTTAAATGCATATGACTAAGTGAAAGAAGCCAATCTGAAAAGGCTACATACATATGATTCAACTGGGGTGGGGGTGGGGGGGGTCTGCTGCTCCCTCTCCCTCTCCCCCATTTGTGCTCTCTCAAAATTAAAATCCTAAAAAGAAAAAGAATAATTTTTAGTGTATTGTTATAACAAAACAGAGACAAAATAATTCCCAGAGGATTTCCTCAGATGCTTAGAATGAAGAGAAACAATCCACTAATAAATGAAGGCTTTTTTTGGGTGTGTTTTATTTTTTAAACAGTGACTTTTATATCACAGCTGCTTTAATTGTGAAAACAATACAGAATATAAAAATGAGAATATAGGCATGGATTATTCATGCAAATGTTCAGGTGTTGCATAAAAATGTTCAGTAATGATAACTTTCTAAAGTCCCTGCACTTGCCTAAGAAAAAGACAACTATGAATTACACCCCAATTAATATTAGAAATATGTACATGTAATGTGAATATGGAGTTGCACCTAAAATATGTTATAATCCAAACATTCTAGTGGTTTTTGCCGGTTGGTCCTTATGAAAGTGTTTTGAGAATATGGAACTATATAAAATTCTTCCACTCAAATTTGCGGGGTAACATTGTAAAATATAACACTGGATTTTTTTTAAAAAGAATTATTGGTATTAATTTGGTTGCACTGTAGCTTTATCTTAATTTACTCCCCCCCCCAACATTTTAAACTTATATCTTGAAAATGAGGTAACAGAACATTAAGGTATTCTCTAAGTATTAATGTATTGTATTTGGCCAAATACAATTATTTATATTTATTTCCAAGTAATGAAACCTGATACTGCTTGCAATTTAAATAATTCTATCATAAAATGAGTGTGTGCGTATATATGGTATATACATATATTTGTGCATATATATTGTATATACATATAAAACGTGTTATTTATAGACTTACAGTAAAATATATTCTGTTTTAATTTTCCCAATACTTTTACTCCAAGGGGATGCCAAAAACTTCAAAGGTATTGGGTCTCCATTTTCTGATTATTTCATGCTTCTAGTTATAGAACAGCAATGACATGGATCCTAATCCTTTGAGATTTTAGTTATATATTCTGTGAGCCCAAATACACTATATACATACATTAGTACATACCCTAAAATAATTATACATATAATACATTTTATATATTATATTTTATTTATATCATATTTAATGGAACTAATGGAATAATCAGAAACTGGACAGTCCATGACCTTCTATTTTTTGGTACCCTCTTGGACTAAGAATGTTAGAAAAATTCAAATTCCATATTCTTTTCAAATAAGTGGTGTACAGATGATAATGACTGGGAGAACCATTAGGAACTATACATGCTAACAGCATCCTTATGTTTATTCTGTGGACTATATAGAATTTTTCCAAAGCTCAAAGTGGAATATAAAAATTACTAAGGTATTATGAGTATTCTTTTAATATATATCTGGATAAGAGTCCATTTGTGTGCTTTCTAAATTTTAAATTGTATTGTTTTTAAAGACACATTATTTAGATTGGACAAATCTGGTAAATTAACCTTAAGAAGGCAGTGTCTTTTGTTGGCAGAGAAGAATGATGCTATTAGCTCTGGAAGAAAAGTGAGTTAGATTTAAAAAAAAAAATTCTGGGCCCAGATAAAGGACTTTCAGTGGAAAGGG